TTCATGACAACGATACTCGACGTCAACGATCATCACAGCTATACTCGACGTGAACGATCCTCAACGATGCTCGACGTCAACGATCTTCATAACGCCGCTCGTCAACGACAAAGTAAATGTACGATACTCCTGCATTATCAAGCACTCTCGCTTCCTCTTCCTTTTCCTCCTCCTCCCCCCCCCCTCCAGCTTCGGGGTTGGGTTTTCGTCGCTTGGCAAAGACGTTGTAAAACAAGCCCCCCCCTCGGTGTTTTCCCCCCGCTCTAGACTTAAGTGGGTTGGCGCTGTTGGCAAAGCGCTGTAAAACACGCCACCCCAAATACAGTCCCCATAGTATGCGCTACCAAAGACGCGTGATGCATGGACGAGTGGAGTGAGGATAGCTGTTTACGGAAACCTCACAGGTTGAGTGATGTAGGAAATTGCCGGACACATAGACGTTTTGAGTGATTATAATGTATACTGAAACCTCAAGGGTTGAGGGAGGTTTGAGGTTGCCAGACACATAGACGCGCTGAGTGGGGATAGCTGCATTCTGAAACCCCACGGGTTGAGTGATGTTGGATAGTGCCGGACACATAGACGTGTGGAGTGAGGATAGCTGCATACTGAAACCTCACAGATGCATTGTTTTTTGAGTTTGCCAGACAATAGACGCGTTGAGTGGGGATAGCTGCATACTGAAACCTCACAGATGGATTGGGTGTTGAGTTTGCCAGACACATAGACGCGCTGCGTGGGGATAGCTACATACTGAAACCTCACGAGTTGAGTGATGGATAGTGCCAGACACATTGAGGCTTTGAGTGAGGATAGACACGTACTGAGACATCACGAGTCGAGTGACGTTTGCGACTGCCGGACACATAGACGCATTGAGTGACGAAAGCTGCATACTGCAACCTCACAGGTTGATTTGTGTTGGAGATTGCCGGACACATGGATGCGTTGAGCGAGGATAGCTGTATACTGAAATCCACAGTAGCTATAGTGAGGGGACAATTCGAGAATGCAGTACATATAGACCCGACCCCCAACCAGTACCCGAACCTCCCCTGCAAAATAGAGGCCATGCGCCCCCCCCCCC